AGAGATGACAGAGTGTTTGCAGGGAAAGATAGTTGCTGCTATACTATACAGACTTGAACAGTGTTTTATACACTACTAAAGACAGCGCTATACAGAGTCAATGTATGTTGGAGATTTGGTGTAGATAGAGAGAGCTGACCGTGTGTTTTCAGGGAGAGATATTTGCTGCTATACTATACAATGCTGAAAATAGCTATACACTGTTAGTGTTTTAGGTTTTATATTTTTGAGGGAGGTATATTTTAATTTAACATAATTTTACAGGAGTCTTTTTTGGGGCGGCTTAGCAGCATGAACTTGCTCCTGGCACAAGCAAAGCTGCCCTTTGTTTGCAGCACATCACTGCATTCATGTGCAGTATAGTTTAGTGTGTTAAATCACCACATCCTCAATCTTCCAAACTGTAATAGCTGCTAATAAAGTTAAGCAATCAACTCTATTCATAATGTCATGCAACCTGATGGGAGAGGCAGAGGCAGTTAGTAGGAGGCAAGCAGGTTCTGCATTTGCACATTTTAAAAAACGCCCCACTTAGAAGAGTTGCTGTGGAAGAACCTCTTGGCTGCATTTCTAAAAAGCGGCAGGCTTTCATCTCACGCCTTTGATTCTCAGATCGCTGAAAGGAGAAGCAGCTGTGGTGGTGGCTGCCTCAATGATGTTTCTAATTTTTTTTTCACCACAGCACACGGGCAGCACTTAAACAATATGATTGCAGACTACCAGTAATACACTCTAATTTTTATTTCCCAATAACAACTGCCTCTTCTGTCCTTCCTAAATTGCAGCCAAATAAAATTGTACACATACTGTGCATTGAGCGTGTACAATATTTTTGGCGGTTATCCCAGAAATAATACTCTAAATTATAATTTCATGATAAAACCTGCCTGGTATCTCCCTGTTAAATTGCAGCCCACTAAAGCTGCTTAAGTAGTGTACATCATGTCTGTCTGATATTTCAGGCTGTTGTCCCTAAAATATTACACTCTAATTTTTATTTCATGATAAAACCTGACTGGTTTCTCCCTCTGGGGCCTACTGAAGCTGCTTACATAGTGTGCATCAAGTTTCTACAATATTTCTGGCTATTGTCTCTGGAATACTACACTCCTATTTTTATTTCACAATAAAAACTGCCTGGTCTCTCCCTCTGAAATTGTGGTCTAGTAAAACTGCTTACATAATGTGCAGTGAGTCTGTACAATATTTCTGCCTTGTCTCTGGCATGTGTGGTTGTGTATTTTATTAAACTTTTAAGACAATACAGTGTGGTACTATATAAAACGATCAAAAGCTATACTATGAAACTGTTTTGCCACTGGCAAAGCTTTTAGATCTGTTGTGGCTGCTCCTTCTACAATAAATTTCAGGCCTATTACCACTGAATAAAAAAATCAGGTGTCACAGCCAAAACTAACTAAAGAAAATAATCAGATTGGGGTGCTTCTGCTACTGTATTTAAGTCAAGCAATAAAGTATAATGGAAAAAAAACAAAAAACTATTACACAGCTGACATATGTGATGTCAGAATGGGATGGGAATATGGGCTGGTTGTGAGGGTCATACTGCTCCTTAACATTGCATACAGCTTTCAGGCATTTCCCAAACATGCAATTGAAAGGATTGGTGGTTTTTCCATGTTGCATCCTTAATTTGAATAAAAAGGAGGACCCTCTCCTCATTGGATAACAGTCAGCTTTAAAATATGTCTGCATTGGTACTTTTTCCCCATGGCAGTGCCTAGCACCCCATGCCCTTTGTTTAAAAATGTCATACCTATTCATCCAGGTTCTGTTCATAAATGACTGACACATTTTTTACATTTTTGCTGTGTGATTCTTCCACAGCAGTAATATACTTTCTTACTAAATGTACCCACACATATTATATATAGTTTTTTAGAGGACAGATAGGGCTATATAATTATATCACATATGTGTACCTAACCCCTCACTTAGTTTGAATAAAATAAAAAAATGAGGAAAAAAACTAGAAGAAAACACTTTTTTCACAAGTTTTGATTATTATTATTTTTTTTAGAATTTTTTAATATTAATTATAGTATAAAAAATATATTTATATATAATTTATATTTTCCTAATTTTGTTTTACACTTTATTTTAATTTTTTTACACTTTGTAAAAAAAATAAAAATAAAAAAAAAAAACTTTTTTTTTTCTTGTCAGTTTATATCAAGCAATCACTATGACAGCTTGATAAATTAACTTTTTTATTTTATTTTTGGCTATTAGGCTGATCCAAACTTAGGAACAGCTAATAATAACCTTAGAGACTGATCCTGACTTTAGTCAGATTCAGATCTCACTAAAAGCTCTTTGATCGTGCCTAGACGATCAGAACTGATACATTTCACTCAAAAGATATACATTGTATCTTTTGAGTGAAATGTATCTAAACATCGGGCTCTCGAGCTGTCAAAACAAATAGCAGAGAGGTGAGGTGAGTCACTGCTGCCTCTCTGCTATTTTGAGCTGTCAAATACGGGATCGCAAATTGCGGTCCTCTATTTGCATGTAACGGCTTCATTCTTTCATTACTGAAAGGAAGAAGCTTTTACAAAAAGCTTAATTATTTCATTAATTAATGCCTCAATACTGAGACATTAATGCTGAGAATAAGCAAATACCGGCATTACAAAGCCTGATATAACTCGTCACGTACAGTGTACGTGGCCAGTCATATAGGCACAAAGTGACAGGACGTACACTGTACGTCTCCCGTCACGAAGGGGTTAAAGATCTCTCATAGTGTAGTATATTTTAAAAACAGCATTTATTAAAAATAGAAAACTTACAAGTATACAAAAAAAACGAGCAGAAAATTCTCCACAATGCCAAAATCACATTTTGACGGTACACTCCCCCTACCTTTGACGCGTTTCATCACATCCGACTATTTCAAAAGGAAATAGCGTGTATACTGACAATCACTTAGTTTATTTACATTTCATCACGTACAGAATGTGCTATGTGAATGTAGCAAAAATATTAAAGAATGCAATTGTTTTTGCTAAATATCTCATGTGTCACCAGAAACCCTGGTTTTAAGGACATTAGGGTTTCTTTATACCAATTACAGCAATGATTGAGACCGTTAAGTACTTAACTACTGGCTTGATATCTTTTAGTCACAGCTTCCTTCTTTTCACTTGAAAAGGTCTGGGAGTATCCCAGCTGATTTACTGGAAGACGTATTCAATTTATCACAAATGCTTCATTATGCATTAGCAGATCTCTTGTGGGGTAGAGCGTCATTAACCTCTGTACTGCTAGAGGGGCATAGCATTACTCCCGAATAATAATGCAAAAAACGGCACAATCCTTTTAGTCTTATTCATTATCATGGCAACATGATGCTAAAGTCATATACACAGCCACAAAAGCTAGCTGTTTTTGTTTTAGAAAATACAGAAAAAGATAGATGCTTAGGTTCTTAAGGTGGCCACCTCCAGTGGGTTGGTCTAGGTTGCTGGACACGACAATTTGCATGATTTCGGAAACATTTGTCAAGCATGCAGGTTGCCTCTAAGAAACTCACTGAACTTTATTAATTGCTTACCAAATGCCAAGAAAACAAGGTAAGTAGTTTAATCTGTCATTGGTGAGTACCAAGCCTAAGGCACTTAAAAGAGGATAATAATAATGATGTAAATGCATGTATATGTTATATCATTTAAACAATACTATTTTCTTCTGCTAGATGTTTGAAGGAGACTATCCAGGACCTCTGGCAAGAATGTATAACAAGCAAGCAGGTGTTCGCATTTTCCATACTTATACATATCATTGTCTCTGTTCTTTTTTGTTTGGCATAGTTTTACTTTTTATAACTTTTTTATTTTTTATTGAAAAAAAACCCCATACATTTTTGTT